CTTCCGCCATCCCCAAGTCAAGGGTCGTATATACTGACCCAATAGCATATCTTGAAAACTAGAGCCAATCAACAATTTTAAGCATCATTTTCGTTCTCAGTGACCCAGAATTAGTAAAGTTTGACTACATTTATTTCAGAAGCATTTTGGCTGTAGAGCAGTATAATAAATAAAAGGTTACAGACAGGATATCTGACTGAATCATCATTTGAATTAAAGTCATGCAGAATGAGACATTAATATTCATGAACAATTCAAAAATACCTCAACTGACAGGAAGTATATCCTGTTTATACCTTTAAATGTTCTTCAAAGGTTTAACATATAAATTGTCAAGTGTTATTACACCCTGTCATATCAGCAGTCTGATAAACTATTTAGCGCACAACAGAGTCACACTCAAGTGCATTCAGCACTGTCTTGCTCATTATGCCAGATATTAATGTGGAAGATGAACTCACTGTCTGCGAGTCTTGGGAAGAAATCCCACCATCTCCATGGCCAGTTGTAAGCGCTCAAAATCATGCTTCAGGTCTTCCCCTTCAACAGAGAAACAATCCTGTTTGGTTCAAACACAAAGATTGAGTGTTAAAAGAAATGAAGACCAGAATGTATCTAGCCAGTCAATTCAGCATTACACAAATCTTAATCAGTGCTTTCCATGCCCTTCCTGCCTGAGGAGTGACGGACACAGACCCCCTTAACATTAATAAGGAACAGCTCAATTAGTCACCAGCAACACACACCTTTGACATCATATTCACACTCTCCCCCTCTGGAACCATTCTGAAAGTCCAATGCAGAATGAAAAGAGCATGTACAATATGAATTGTGAACTATACCTATTGTGGGTGAGGGATGGGGACTCAGTCAAAGAATGAGGAGAGCCAACATGCGGCTTTTGAATAATGTTAAAAAAACTTGCTGGAAGAAGTATGTGCATATAACTTTCCAAGGAGATCAAGTCTGCTCTAAGTATTAATCTTTAGAATAAATGAGTCCCAGGATTCTAACTCACAGACACTCCTAACAAATGAAAAGAATTCCATTTTTTAAATTAAAAATGGATTCTTTTACATTATTTTTAAAAATAAAATTAACTGCAACATACATCAATAGATTAATTGTCGGGGTTAAAATCATGAATTTTGGAATGCTGCAGATTGGAGGCTGTTGTATTTAACAGGTTTTTTTATTCTAAACATTAACTAATGTTCTGAAAATGCTAACTCAGAGGAAATTCGAAATCTACCGAACTTTACATTTTGAGGGTACATGGATACTTTCAAATGATTTAGATACTGAACTCTTATGTTTTCTATAACCCACTAATATTACAAAACTAATAGTTAACGGTGACAAAGAGTACCAGAGTTTTCACAATTCAGATATACTGAGGCCCATCTATATTGGCTTCACAGCTATATTTAAGAACCTTATTTAAAACTATATGCCTTACAACTAAACTCCCGTAAAGTGGTTTATAAACTAACAAGCCCAGTACCTTTCATGTGATTTGGTTCACCCCCATGCCCACCATGCGTTTCCTCCCTTGATAGGCCAGATTATTTTATGTCTTCCTATGAGAGCCATCCAGCTACAGCCCAAAATGTCAGTCTCCAAATCCAAGTCACGCTGTGTTAAACCACAGACTATTTTATTGATAATTGTACAGAAAGAAAATATTGTTACACATATAAATAAAATAACAGCCAGTTTTCAAAACTGTACCTACAATAACATATCAGGTAATTGAGTGTACATATTATACGATCCACTCTGGTCATTTGCATGGAAATCATGGTAACTGTATTTAAGTGTGCACACATATTTGTATGAACAGTTTTGAAAATCCACAATATACAGGGCTACTTGCATGTTACAGAGACCAGGCACTAAACAATCACAAAATACTGACTATTTCCTGGACTCTCAAGTACACTCGCTCTCACTTTCAATAAATAGCACAAAGCTGTCTCTTCATTCTGCATCCCACAGCATGTATAGGTGGATAAATCTTCACAGCTAACTCATTGATACAAATCTTCTCCTTTAAGGGGGAAGATTTTTCCTCTGTTTCCTTAATATGGTTATTGCTTTAGAGTAATGTCCACTTGTTGATCCTAAGATCAAACACTTTAATTTCAAATATTAGCATCAATAAACCATACAAACATACAGGAATATTAGACAATATTCACTGGCAGTATCCAATTCCCCCAACTAAAAACTGTTTAACTGTAAATGGATTTATACCTGGTTTTTAAAATCAGCTGTAATACCAATGTAGGCAGAGTCTCAATTTAAATTAGAAATGAATACGTTTGCATTCTGTTAAAACAAGACTTATTAAAAAGGGGGCATTTTCATCAGTTGTGCTAAACTGAATTGATAATACTGTAGAAATGTGCCCGCTTTAACTGGACATAGCCCCATAAACTACTTTTAAACTCTGAATAAATTTATACATCATATGTATTCAATGGGACAGCTATAGCTCAAAATAGATAAACCATGTAATACAGCAATGAGACAAATTAATTTTATTCCATAAACTGATGACAAGAAACAAAGCCTTTCATATGTAGGTCAGTGGTTCCACTTTGGCCCAGATTTTAGTGACCAAAAGTCATTACTAACTGATAGCTAATTGGCGAGCAGTATGAAATAAATTGTTAATCTCAATCCAGCTCTTAAAAAACAAGTGTCTACATCAGAAAAAATACTATCAAAACTGGCTTCCTTGTTGGCAGATGCAGAAAGGTTTCAAGGGAGGAAAGGGCCAATAAAACTAAACTCCCCTCTCCAAGTTATGGTTGACACACAGTGTTAGTTCTCCGGCCCTTGCTGAACTTGGACAGCACAGACAAATAAAAGCATTTTACATGCATTTAGTATCCAGGGCTGGGAGCTATCAAGGACACTAAAAATCTCATTTAAAAATAAAAATGAAGAAACACTGCCTATGTTCCTGTGACCGCTCCCTTATCGGATTTCACCCATTTGAAATTATATCACAAGTTAATAGTGAAACTACTACAGCTGACTCAGAAGCAATACATTCAAAGCCAAAGGCAATGTGGTTAACAATTTACATAACAATTGCCAAGCTCATTAACCCATATGGAAAGGCTTCTTGTAAATCATTTATGTCAAAGCAGATGCTCTGCACACTATTTCATCAGCAGTAAGTCCCTATACTTTATTTTCTTTTATCAAAATGGACAGTCATACATTTAGAACATTCATGCTGTAATGGCAAACAACTGTGAAAAGAGCCAACATTTGCAGACTAATCAAACTGGTCATCAGTATTCTGCTTAAGCAATGAGTCGTCTCCCAGCCTTTTCAGTCTTGTCACACAAAAGCAAGAACCCTGCTTACTAACACTAAATTGAAGCAATTCAAGCATCTCCACTCTCAAAGTTGAAAGATATGCTTGTTCAGAGATGAAAATATCATTGGGGTGGCAAGTTACATGGGGCCATGGGGCCCATGCTCCAGCAAATTCAGGGTATGGGGGCCCAGCTCCACCAATGTTCAGGGCTGAGTCTCTCCCCCACCTGCCATCCCTCGCGCCTTCCCCAGAGCGTCCCCCGGCCCCACCTGCTGCCCCCACGCGCCTCCCCCAGAGCGTCCCTGCCTACGTCCTGGGCAGCGGAAAGCTGCCCTGCTGCTCCGCACTGTGCTCCCTCGCCTCCAGGGAGCGGCACCGGTGGCAGGCTGAGACAGCGGTGCAGCCGCCACCTGCGGAGGAAGGAGGCGCGCACACGTGATGGCAGCCGTCCCCCCTTCTGGCACCCACCACAGGGGAGGCAAGGGGGGGCTTCCTGGACCTGAGAGGGGCCCGGCCCCTAGGAGCACGTGCAGTGACGGTGCTGGGTGAGTGTGCTAATGTTGTTGAAATTGCAAAATACTTCCGTAACAACCACTTTGTAGCAGCTGCTCTGAAAAATAGTGGCAGGAACCAAGCTAACTCTCCCACAAGACGTGCAATGGAACTCAGTAGTGGACTGTTTTAAGCACTATATCAAGAACTGGCCTAAGCTGATGACAGTTTGTGAACAAAACTGTGAAAAAATAGATGGTACCGTCAGCCAACGTTCTCAACATTGGGCTTAAGAGAAATGTTGAACACATGCGGAGTACCCTGAAGCCTATTTCTGTAGCCTTAAACAAAATGCAGAAAAATAGCTGTTTTATTGCTGACACTGTTGAAATTTGGAAAGAACTGAGTGAGAACTTAAGAAGAGAAATATGCAATGACAGAGTTAAATTACAAGCATTAAAAAACGAATGGGACAAGCACTATCTCCAGCTCATTTTCTTGCAAATATTCTCAATATTTGATACCAGGGTCAAACCTTAACTGCTGAAAAAGAGAAGTTGGCTATGACATGGACATCCAGCAATCATCCCTCCATAATGGCAACTATAATAAACTTCAGAGTTAAGGGTGAGCCATTCAAGAAATATATGTTTGCTGATGATGTTTTAAAGAAAGTCACACCAGTGAACTGGTGGAAATCACTTAAGCACTTGGATTCAGAGACTGTTGAAGTGATAATCTCACTTTTAACCTTCTGCCAGTGTAGAAAGAATATTTCCTTCCTTTGGACTAAGTCATTCCAAATTGAGAAATCGTTTGGGACCTGAAAAAGCAGGAAAGCTTGTTTTTCTTTTCCAGATTATGAACAAACAGGAAACTGAAGGTGAAGATGACTGAGTTAGCTGCAGAAGCCAATATTTTAAGTTTCTCATGTTGACCTGTTGACCACAGTCGATTTAATTTTTGTTTTTAAAAAAATAATATTTCATTTAACTATTTTAGTTAAAAACAATTTTAACAAAAACAAACCTGATTTTAAAAAACTTGAACGTTTAACTAAATTCAAAAATTCATATGCTTGTTTTGTTAAAATATTATGTGTTTGCTGGTGAAGAAAAAAATCCAGAATACATATCATTGTTGTTTTAGTTAAGTAAAACAATTTAAATGTCTGTCCGGTGATGTTCTCCTCCTAATGCAGCATGGCAAGAAAATCCTCCAAATATTAATGATTAACCTGTTGAATTGGAGATAGTTCACCTCCCAATGACTTCATAAATATCTGCTTCAATTACCTTTGGTAAATGAAATAACAAAACAAGCATTCATTTTCTGATATAGCTATAAAACGAATCTGAAAAGTTTTCAAAATAAATCACTTTAAAAATGTATAGTGTGTACCTTCTAAAAATGAAACCTACATCTATCTCGGAGTTGTGAAGAATATGTACTAAGGTAATAACAACCAACAAGAATGCACTTTTATGTAGAAATCCATGATGAAATCGAGTTTTCCTGACTAGTGATTTAAATAAATCCACCCTGATTCTGTGTTGTGTCTCTGTTCATAAACCAATTTTTTTTTTAATCTTTTTGAAATTCACAAAGAAAAAAAACAAACCTTCAGGACCACCCCTCACAATAAACAAAAAGGAATTTCATAGTCGAAGCATTCTTGCTGATTTCATTGTCTACTAACCTGGTAGTACAAGTAAATAAATAGCCAAACCTCTCAAAATACCAGATTCAACAAATAACTAAAAATATTTACAGACTTTGCTGCTCAGACATGGGCAAAGCAACTCTATTTTTCTTAGATCATCCTGAGCTGGTTTTAGTTTAAAAAAATAAAATAAAATCTGCACAGCGTGATTAGCCCAGCTCAGATGTAAGGAGGATTTGTCTTATCTACCTCCTATTATGTTTTTTTTAATACATGATCCAAATTAGTTCTTTGAAACTGTTAGTATATTATACAGAGATTCCCACCCCAAGCACTGAATTATTCAATATTCAGTATTTTAAACTTTAAGCAATTATAACCTGTCCCTTCTGTGGGTCTGAGATTAAATATTCTCACTGATGAAAGTCTTACTTTTATTTTTGCCTATTTACCCATACAGTAAAAGGATAGCCTTACAGATTACCTTTTATTCCTTAAGATTACCAAACTCCGTTAGTATAAAGCACATTGATAGCAATGATAACATGCAATTAGATTTACAAGCATGCTTTTAGGTTCAAGACAAAACTGACAAAAAAAGAACACGTACACATCATCTGCAGGCCACACAAACGAAAAGCACATCTCTAATCTGGGCCAGTGCCGCTTGACTGAATTGCACACGGGGGGGGGGCGGGAAGTGGGGGTTATAAAAAAAGAGCTTCACATTTCCTTTTTTGGTCATATGTATTTGGAAAGGTCTTGCTGTTAAGCTGTCTTCTTTCAGATAACACTACAAGCCAAACTATTTTAACCAAGGAACTGTTTTTATTCTAAATAATATTGGTGTCTCCATTTTCTCACATACGTGGTGCAGTATTTTTATATAACAAATCAGATAGGAAATTCACTACTGCAGTCATTCTGAAGGAACATGGAGAACAAATCTTTCAATGCCTGTTTAATTAAAAATCTCGGTTTGTTGTACTTTGAAATATCACTGAAAGGAGTACTTTATTTTCACAAGAGAGAAATGTAATTATTGTATAATAATGGTTTCATAATATAGCAATGTACACCTTTTTGTCAACATATATGCACTATACCTTAGGATAACACCATCATTAGATAATTGATACTTGGTTCAATTAGATGGGCATATTCAATCCAAACTAAGAGAGAAGGCTTAGCGAAGGAAAATGACCAAAAAAGGGATAGGGAAAAAAAGATTTGCACCATCACCGGCTAAATATCCAAGCAATCGCACTGAGAAGAAAACCTATGGCTTTGGTGTTTCTATTTTAAATTAACTAAGTTTTCTCTGTGTCTTGGTGTAGAATAAAGATTCAAATAAGCAAAGAAGCACCCTACACCAGCAACACAGAATGCACATGTACTTGTACTGACCGGCTCAGAGTCATAGTAATAATCATCCCAGCTCTGTCTGAGGGGTTTCTTTGTCATCTGAAAGCAAGGCAGATCAGGTTAAGTAGCATTCAAGTCAAACATAACTCTTTCTCCCCCAGGCCTTTGAGACAGGGCAGCAATGCAATTACATTACATGCAAAGTCAGAATTCATTTTGCATGGAGTTATGAAATTTAAAATCTGTAAGGAAGAATTTAGGTTTTAGGAATTATTTACCACATTTGTCAATATTCTGATCTCTACTTATTTTAATAACATGTATAATGATAATTCCGCATGTTACAAGGCTAATTAATATATTTCTAAGACAGATTTATCTATGACTATTATAGTTGATCCATGGGTTTACCTAGTGATAGTGATCTGCACAGCCATGCTGGAGAACAAGGTCTAGTTTCTACTCTCTTAACCCCTTCTCTGGGGAGCTACATATGTTGGAAAACAATGATTCATATGACCAATCAAGGAACAGCATCAAGGGGCTCCTACGGAAGTGCCATCTAGTCTTTCTCAGCCAGAAAGACAGAGATGGGGTTAAAAAAGGTAGAGATGGGGTTAAAAAAGGTATAGTTAGGGTGGACAAAATATAAGGATTCTCAAGGCTAAAAAAAATAAAGCAGAAAAAGGCCCCAGTGGGAAAATGTTATGGCACAACTGTTTATACTGCAGTAATTAAACTAATTACAGATCCAGTCCTGCATGGTGTTGACTGCAGTAGGAGTGGAGGCCAGCCAGCACAGTTCAGGAAGTAGTTAGCACTGTGCACTATTGGACCTTTAGCATTTCAACTGTAAATCTATTTGACCGGCCAAATCTGACCTGAGCAGAAATTACAAATAAGGTTGTTTTATTAAAAAATATTTAGACTAAAACCAATGTCAGCCCTCTCCTTACCTAGTACATTATACTACTTTGTTGTTGTTTTTTAAATACTGTTGACCTCGGTTTTACAACCTTGAAAAAAATAAAGGAAATGTAATAAAAATAGCTGTTTTTAAACAAAATTAAGATTATGAAACAAAACAAAAAATTCATTTGAAAATTATCTTGCCCCTGCCATGCTTCAGAATTACACAACAGATGTTACATAAAGAACACAGTATGTTCTCGAACCTCTCCAATACTTACACAGTGTTTAAGAGCAAAAGCCTTAAACTCTATTAGGTCACTAGCTTGTGTGAAATTCTTAATGTCATTAAATGTGGGTGGCAATCATTATTACTACATTTGTATTCTGGCTTTAATATACTGCTCGAAAGGACTTTAAAAGTTCTTACTTTCTGAGGACCTTAGCCCTCTTAAGTTGTCAACCTTTCACAATTTTAAGAAAGATTAAAAAGTTATTTGCAATGAACTGTGTTTACACAATTGAAGCTTTAACTTGTAATCTAAAAATAGCAAATTATTTACTGCTAGCCAATGAAAAAAATTTCTTTTAAATATATACTAAACTGTTCTCAGATCTATCATTCCAAAGTAAAACAGGCATTTAATTTAAAAAATCCACATATAATGTAACTAGGGATTCTTTATTTTTTAGTATCTGAGGGGTAGCTGTGTTAGTCTGGATCTGTAAAAAGCAACAGAGAGTCCTGTAGCACCTTTAAGACTAACAGATGTATTGGAGCATAAGCTTTTGTGGGTGAATACCCACTTAGTCTGACGCATGTAATGGAAATTTCCAGAGGCAGGTACAAATATGCAGGCAAGATTCAGTCTGGAGATAACGAGGTTAGTTCAATCAGGGAGAGTGAGGTCTTCTGCTAGCAGCTGAGGTGTGAACACCAAGGGAGGAGAAACTGCTTTTGTAGTTGGCTAGCCATTCACAGTCTTTGTTTAATCCTGATCTGATGGTGTCAAATTTGCAAATGAACTGAAGCTCAGCAGTTTCTCTTTGGAGTCTGGTCCTGAAATTTTTTTGCTGTAAGATGGCTACCTTTACATCTGCTATTGTGTGGCCGGGGAGGTTGAAATGTTCTCCTACAGGTTTTTGTATATTGCCATTCCTGATATCTGACTTGTGGCCATTTATCCTTTTATGTAGTGACTGTCCAGTTTGGCCAATGTACATAGCAGAGGGGCATTGCTGGCACATGATGGCATATATAACATTGGTGGACGTGCAGGTGAATGAACTGGTGATGTTGTAGCTGATCTGGTTAGGTCCTGTGATGGTGTTGCTGGTGTAGATATGTGGGCAGAGTTGGCATCGAGGTTTGTTGCATGGATTGGTTCCTGAGTTAGAGTTGTTATGGTGCGGTGTGTGGTTGCTGGTGAGAATATGCTTAAGGTTTGCGGGTTGTCTGTGGGCGAGGACTGGCCTGCCTCCCAAGGTCTGTGAAAGCGAGTGATCATTGTCCAGGATGGGTTGTAGATCACTGATGATGCACTGGAGAAGTTTAAGCTGAGGACTGTAGGTGATGGCCAGTGGAGTTCTGCAGGTTCCTTTCTTGGGCTTGTCTTGTAGCAGGAGGCTTCTGGGTACACGTCGGGCTCTGTTGATTTGTTTCTTTATTTCCTTGTGCGGATATCATAGTTTTGAGAATGCTTGGTGAAGATCTTGTAGGTATTGGTCTCTGTCTGAGGGGTTGGAGCAGATGTGGTTGTACCTCAGCGCTTGGCTGTAGATGATGGATTGTGTGGTGTGTCCGGGGTGGAAGCTGGAGGCATGAAGGTAGGCGTAGCGGTCGGTGGGTTTTCGGTATAGGGTGGTGTTAACGTGACCATCACTTATTTGTACTGTGGTGTCTAGGAAGTGGACCTCCCGTGTAGATTGGTCCAGGCTGAGGTTGATGGTGGGGTGGAATCTGTTGAAATTGTGGTGGAATTCTTCCAGAGTCTCCTTCCCATGGGTCCAGATGATGAAGATGTCATCAATGTAGCGTAGGTAGAGAAGGGGCGTGAGTGGACGAGAGCTGAGGAAGCGCTGTTCCAGGTCAGCCATAAAAATGTTGGCATATTGTGGGGCCATGCGGGTGTCCATGGCGGTGCCACTGGTCTGGAGGTGTATATTGTCACCAAATTTGAAATAATTGTGCGTTTTATTTTTTAGTTTTATATTGCATGTGATTTCAACTTCATGAAATGAAAGGATAATTAACCACTGCCAAGCAAGGGTGTGATGTGTCAGTCCATATTCTTTATGAAAACATGCTTATGATATGAATATGAAATAACAGATATACTTTATGCAAGATGGCTCATGTGAGATATCATTGGAAAGGTTATAATTTACTGAATGTGATTATCCAATTTGTGTGCCTGTATCATTTCTGTATCTGAAGTTAGGAATATTGACTATGTATCTGTATTTCAACTATGCTACTTTGGGTGACGTCCACTGCTAACACTTCAGGTCCAACTATGGAAAAGCTAAACAGGGTAGATGGCCCATCAGCAAGGACAATGGATTGTGAAAAGTTTGGCCTTCCTGCGGACGCTCCATACTGCCACTGACTCATGGACGCCATAATCCTAGAGAGACAGGTGGTCTTGTCACCTGATAATAAAACATTACCTGGGACTTCTTGTAACCTTCCACTGTAAGGGGGGTGGGGGGGGTCAAGTTTGAGAAACCAAGGATTCCCGCCTTATGTAAATCCTATTTAAGGGTGGGGAGGAAAGCAAACAGGACTCCTCTTCTCCACGACCTATCTGCCCAAGAAGAAAGACTGCAAAAGGGAAGGCAAGGGGGGAGTCCAGTCTGAGACAGGGGTCCAGTCTGAAAAGGAATAAAACTGGAACTTTGAACCACAGCAACTTTGCAAACTGCCTGCAACAATATCTAAGGTGAGAAATACTATTTGTAACCAATTTCTTTAGTGAAACTAGCTTAGTTTGCATGTTTGATTTCATTTACTTAGTAATCTGTTTTGTTCTGTTTGTAACCCCTTTTACCACTTCAAATCTGCCTTTTATAGTTAATAAAATTTATTTTGTTCATTATTAAACCCAGTTTCTGCACTTTTTAACTGGGGGGGGGGGGCAAGAAGCACAGCTCTCTCCACATTGAGGGAGAGGGCGAATTTGATAATATATCTTTGGGTCTGCACTCCAAGAGAGGTGGACATCTGAATGCTGGAGCAAGTCCCTTAAGCTGAGTCTTCCCGATGTGTTTGTGTGTGTTTTTAGAGGAAGTTTTAAGAGCCTGGCTCAGCAAGACAGATTAAAGGGGGCCCATGCTGGCAGAACAGGTAGACGCAGTGGTATCTCAGCACATCAGGTGGCTTCCCAAGGGGTCCAACCCGTCACAAAGGGTTCCACGTGTGACTGTCCAAATCCCTTTAACATTTACAGGACCTAATACCTTTTTCCTCTTAACGTACATTAATGGCAGAGGAGAACCCTGCCCAAACCCGGTAAAAAGAACCTCTACAGGGCTATGCATTGACCTTGTCCTGACCTAGCTCCAACTGCTTCCTGCTCATCCCTGTAAACTTTCCCCCTTCTCCCCACCTGCTGTAAAGGAGGCCAGCTTGCTAAACAAAGACCCGCTCACATAAATGTTGCAGTGGGCACAACATTTCTACAACGAAGCTTCATAAATTTTCTGCAATGTTAACTGAATAGTCCCACAGAAATATCTCACTTGTTTGTGGTTGATGGTTTCTACATTTTGTTTATATTAGGCTTGTTACACTGTTAAAGTACAAAAATCATGCTATCAGGCAGCCAATCCATAAAGCTACAGAATTATATCATCATCATGCAAGCTGTTATATCCTACAGGCCAACTGCTAACAAGCAGACACATCTCTATCTGAACAGACCTAGGTAGAAGACAGATATTAATTAACAACAACATTCATACAGATGGAAGGTAAATGATAATAACTTCCCTTAGGAGATTATATTCAGTAAATAGCTTATATTTTTATTCTTCTGTACTCCACTTAAGGATGATGGATAGCATCAAAATCATTGCCCTTCTCAAATAGCTGAAGTGCCAACACTGATGAATTTCTCAACATGAAACCCTGAATGCAAAGGCCAAGGACAATAAATTTCACCACTCGGCTTATTTTCTTTATTGGCATTAAGTAAAATCAATAGAGAAGAAGTATGTCATCAGGAAAGAACAGTCCATCATTGTAGAGATAAATACATTCTACAACCCCTTTTATAAAATGCTGTCACATCCCCAAAGCTGCCTGTTTATTCCCACCTGATTGAGATAATGATACTCCTCGGGTTGTTTAAGATGGAATGCTGATCTTTCTTCCTCACTTGCTCCTGCCAGAAGGTAATAAAATACATGGTAGTTCCTGGTAACAAATAAAAATCAATATCAGCATTGTACATATACTTTTGTGTTCACACTAAGAACCTGATTTTCAAAGTTGTGGGACTGCAGCTGCACGTGCAATTGAGCATACAAATTTAGACTGTGATTTTCAAAGGCATGAAGGGTATTAGGTACCCAATTTTCATTGACTTTCAAATGAGATTAGGGCACCTCACTTCTTTAGCTCAGTTTTAACATTCCATCCATTAATACCAAGAGCATGTGCAAATGGCCAGTTCAATGCACAATTGGCTAATGTGTGTGCAAACACCCAATCTGTACTCAGGTCCCCCTTGGAAGCAGGCAGTGGAACAATCACATCTGTGTCCAGTACCAGGTTTACAATGGCACTGAGCCCACACTCAGAAAGGGCCCGCCTCCAAGACTGTGGCCCCACCCTCCGCTCCGCCCTCACTCTGTCCCGAGACCCAGCCACCTCTTGGCCTCTTCCCCCCCACGGTCCCGCCTGCATTCCACCCCAAGGCCCCGCCCTCAGCCAGCTTCTTCCCCCCAAGGCTCGACCACTGCTCACTACCCTATACCCCCTCCTCCCACCTGGATCCAGTAGCTCTCGTTTTCTAATTAAACCCTTCTGGGACAATCCGGTGGTAAAGCAAAGGATACAGACTTTAAGGAATTTCTTATCCACACATACCTTACTCTTAATTAAGGCTAAGCTTCTGTCATGCTTATTTTTAGTAAAAGTCATGGAGAAGTCATATCCAATAAACAAAAATTCACGGAAACCGTGACCTGTCTGACATTTGCTGCTGTGGCTCCATGGTTTCCACTGCCACCCTGGTGTCTGGAAGCTGCGGGGGGGGGGGGGGGGGGCCCTTCGCCCATGGTGGCTGGAAGCTGCAGGGTGACCATCTTTCCCAAAGAGAAAACAGGATACCCCAGCTGCTCGCCCAACACGCCCCCGGTTTCCCCATGAGGCCATCACCCATCGCTGGAACCCTGAGGAGGGCCCCTCAGGAGGCTGTCGGCTGTTGCTGGAACCCTGAAGGGGCCCCATGAGGAGGCTGTCACTCATTCCTGGAACCCTGTTGTGGCCCCACTGGCTGCCAGGGGCTGAAGCAGAAAATGTCACAGAGGTCTGTGGAAGTCAGATTCCATGACATAAACGTAGCCTTACTCTTAACTAAACAAAAGAGAGTTACAGGGCTAGGAAAAACAGTCTCCTGAATACAATCACTCACAGTATGACCTCACCACCCTTATGAGTCCTGGGTTTGGTCTGAGTGCTTCAGTCTGGTAGCCCTTTGGACCTTCTTGTCAATCTTGCTTCTGGCAGCAGAATGACCCACTTTACTTTGAAAGCATTCTTTTTTTTTTTTTTTTTTTTTTTGCGACCATGCACTGCCACTGAGGAATTACGAAGGTCCAAGCTTATTTGGAAACTGTTTGCAGACCTCCCCAAATAATTTTTGGCTACCAAAGACAGTCTAGTGCTAGATGAACCTGGACATCTATACACTCTTGCCAAGTTCAGAGCCATAGATTTCTACTGGCTACTACAGACCAGAAAAGGGTCTGGGAACAAAAATGAGTGACCTAACAAGATGCATTCTAAATGAACAACAAGACAATCTGTAGAACTTCTACTTTATTTTAGAAAGATTTAGTCTTCAGTCTTTGGAGAGTGAGCTAAGTGGTTTCGGTGCTCATCTGTTATGAACAGGAAAGTCTTGGGAACCTAAAAGTTCTGCCTTGATTCCAGCAAGAAGGTATGACTTTCTTGCCAGTATGAACTTGGGTTGGTGTATGAACTGTGCATTAACTTCAAGATCCTCTGCTGCAGAGTTTCACCAGACTGAGGATGTCATTCCAGTCATTGCTTTTGTTCAGCATATATATGAGAGATTGCTAGAGGTCAAAGAGCACTATAAGCTAAGATGCCACTAATATGCTGATGAGCCCCTCCACTATGCCTCTTTCTCACTTAGTATAATTAGTATAGTATCCCATTTCTTGCATGAAAGATATGAGAGAAAAGCACGCTCAACCCAAGCAAAACAGAGACCAATCTGGTTAACAGACAGACAAACATTTTGCAGAACTGGTAGAATGTGTAATTACCCCAATCAAATGAGAGCATCAACATCCCATTAGTCAAGGGAGTGAACAAACTTGGAGTCCTCTGGATTATACCTGGACTTGGCCTTCAAGTTAGCAGTAATGGCCAAGAAACTATTGCAAGTTTGGGTGGCCAGATATCACCCCTTTACTGGTTTTAGGGGGTCCTTATCCAACAGATATCTCTAAACTCTCAACCTTGCAACAGCAGCAACATTCAATGGAGAGAGACTGCCAGAGAGCACTTAAGAAGCATCTCTCCACACCAGGGCAGAACCTTCTTGGTGGAGGGTCCATGATTGTGGAGCCAGCTTCTGCCGGAAATTAGGATGCAGCTGAATCTTACCAACTTCAAAATGTGTTGCATGAGGCATGTTTTCATGCTTGGATATACGTAAAGGATAGGCAGGATATCTGACTTCACTAGGTATATGACCTTTATGAAAGGAGGCTATGAACGAGAAAGGGGAAAACCTTCTGCCTGATTGTTGCCTTGCACCATGTGTAGTCATTTACACCAGTTCAAAGTGAACATAAAGTGAGTGAAAAAAAGCTACTAAATCAGAACACCACTTCACACTGATGTTAACGATGGCACAAAGCGCAGAGTAACAGAGAATTAGAACCTTTGTTCCCACTTAGTACACCCATTGTCCAAGAATAAATTTATGAAAGAGCTTAGGAACATGTGTAATAGTAATACATTAGGCTAGACCCCAAAATGTCAATATTCTTCCTTACAAAGTGGTAAACAGGGCAAGAACTCTGCCACTTTGGCTCTGCAGAAGGGGATTTGAAATCCTCTTATTTCACTTTGATATCAAACACATCCTAAATGCTTGAAATACACTATTAATGTTAAAAGAGCTAAAATGGCTAAGATGACAATTACTTTTCCTTAAGCATGACTTCACAATAGAATAGTATTGACAGCACAATAGTATTTCTAAAATTAAGAATTCTGAACTTCAGGAGTCTGTTATCAAAAGTTTTTCTGAGGGGAAAAAAGATTAACTCATAACAACCTTGATTACATTTTTCAAGTTTCAGTGTGCATGCAATTTAACCTTGAGAGCAGTACATTAGCATTATAATAATGGATGTACCAATTCCACATGGATGAGACTCAGATTGCAAAACTATTTATTTTCCCCCTTCATCTTAAGATAATTTTAGCACCAAGAGGGTCTTATCTATTACAGCAAAGACACGTAGCAATTAATGTAAAACTGTACAAGAACAATAGTCTCAAGTTATGTCTACACTGCAATAAAACACTCTTAGCTGGCCCCGGTCAGCTGACTCAAACTCAAGAGGGTTGGGCTGTGGGGCTATAAAACTGCAGTATAAACATTTGGGCACTAGGTGGAGCTCGGCTCTGGGATTCCGCAAGGCGGGAGGGTCCCACAGTCGGGGCTCCAGTCCGAGCCCAAACCGCTACACAGCAATTTTATAGCCCTCGAGTCCAACTCAGCTGACACGGGCCAGCCGTGGATGTTTTATTGCACTGTAGACATACCCTCAAAGAGCAACACAGAAGAAAGTGACAGTAGTTGACATAATCAATAGAAGATAAAGTTTGACTTTCTCTACCCCCTAATAAGGGTCATGTGGGGTTTGTAGTTTTTTTATTTGTTTTTTGGAATAAACTATGAGACAGTGGAAAATCTGTTTAAAATAGAGGGAATAATTAATCACTGAAATTAAAAGAGAAGTCTGCAATAGGGAAATAAAAGGCCATAAGTAGGAAAAATAAATCATTTTCACTATTAGTATCACCATTGCGCCTTGGAGCCCTAGTCCATGTAGTCATGGAGCCCTAGCCCATTATGCAAGGTGCTGCTCAAAGAGCAAAAAGACAGCCCCTGACCCAAAATTAAATTTTAAATAGTTTACAAATAATGCAGAAGTCACATAACAACCATGCTATAACATCTGATTTATCCATTAGTCACAAAGACAGTGGAAAATATAAGACAGGGACTGTAAGGATGAAATAGAGATCTGGATTTTCCTCCCTTCTAGATTTCACTCCCCAAATGAAATTTGCTATTAAACAAATACTACAAAACAGGCTTAGGCCATGTCTACACTCAAAAGTTAGGTCCACCCAGCTACGTCACTCAGGGGTGTGAAAAATCCACACCCCTGAGCAAGACAGTTAAGCTGACCTAACCCTCGGTGTAGATAGGGCTAGGTCAACAAAAGAATTCTCCTGTTGACCTAGCTGTTGCCACTTGGGGAGGTGGATTACCAGTCCTACACAAATAAGAAAACTCCACCAATTGCTGTAATTAGTGTCTACATACTACAGCATTACAGCTGCAGTATTGCACCTGTGCCACTGTAGAATTTCAAGTGTAGACAAGCCCTTAGCTTAACTGAAGCTAAACTGAATTAAGGCCATTTTAATTCCGAATGAGTGTTCACGCAGGGGTTTAATGCAGTTTAACTAATTCACTTTTTACAAATTAAACTTTCCTGAATGTCACTGTGTAGATAAGCTCTAAGTAGCTTGCCTGCAAATTGATTAGCAATACATACAATGGTGAAACTGATATCCTACAGTCCGGTTAAAATAGGATATTAAAACTATCTGTTATGCACCGAATAAATAGATCATTAAAAATATAAAGATACACATAAGTAAAAAACAGGCTCCTACCGTTCATTGTGTTCCTGATAGACTAGCCTGGATTTCTCCAGTAAATACTTTTCAACATAAGCTCTGGAAGAAAAAAATTAGTCATTCATCCAATGTTCAGATTAAATGGAGAGCTTTGTTGCAATTTTTTTTACTATACAGAAAAGAGACATTTTTATTTCCTTCTTGTTTCATTTAGTTATATAAATTTCTTCCTAGTCAGAAAAAGCCCAACATTATGTTTGACTTTTGAGAGTTTTAGTTTGATACAAAGCCAGGACTAACATCTATACGAAATCTCTGATGAGTTAGCTTATGGGCAGGGAGTGTAGCGGGAAACCTTGACAGAAACTAAAGAATCTAAGATACCTATTAAACCTACATTCAGCAAAATAAAATTAACTGACTAACCCTCTACATCCCAAACTGAGATCAGAGCCCATTTAGGTCCTGATCCTGCAATGAAATCCATGTGGATGCAGTGATCTGCCCATGGAGATTTCATTACAAGTTCAGGTCTACATTTTAAAGCCCTCCTATATTATGGTCACTCTCCAGTCATTCACATCTAAGTATATATTCAAGTACTTTGCTGATTAGGAGTCTTCTGTTGATGTTAAATATCTTTCTACTAAACCTCTGAAGTTTACAAGCTCTTCATGTTTTGGCAATTAAACATATGCGGTTCTTTAACCAAATACTGGACAGTGATTTTCAGAACTGTGTGCAAGTTGTTTGTGCATCAAATGTACATGTGTAAATGCAATTAGAAACATCAGAAATTGTAATCTCTGAGGCAGGGCTATATTACTGTGGTTGTACAGTGGCTAACACAATAGGTGCCCATTGTTAAGTGGTTCTTAGGCACCACCATAATAAACATTATTGATAAACAAACAGCAGACAAATTTTGCACAGGTTCTGAAAGCTTGGTTCTAGACATCTATTATATTTTTTTAAAATATACACAGTTAGGGAATTATATAAAAACATGTTTGTGAGGTACATGGAAAAACAATTATTTTATACTAGAACAGACCCAGCTAATTATTTTTTCAAATGCTATTACTGTCCTTGGGGCGGCACCCAAAGAGCATACAACTAAGTGTAGAAACATAATATACCAGAGACAGGGAAGTGCAATTTCTAAGGGAAGCGAGAGGTTATTGTAACGCCAATATTTAAAAAGGGCTCTAGAGGTGATCCCGGCAATTACAGACCGGTAAGTCTAACGTCTGAACCGGGCAAATTAGTCGAAACAATAGTTAAGAATAAAATTGTCTGACACATAGAAAAACAAACTGTTGAGCAATAGTCAACATGGTTTCTGTAAAGGGAAATTGTGTCTTACTAATCTATTAGAATTCTTTGAAGGGGTCAACAAACATGTGGACAAGGGGGATCCAGTGGACATAGTGTACTTAGATTTCCAGAAAGCCTTTGACAAGGTCCCTCACAAAAGGCTCTTATGTAAAGTAAGCTGCCATGGGATAAAAGGGAAGGTCCTTTCATGGATTGAGAACTGGTTAAAAGACAGGGAACAAAGGGTAGGAATAAATGGTAAATTCTCAGAATGGAGAGGGGTAACTATTGGTGTTCCCCAAGGGTCAGTCCTCGGACCGATCCTATTCAACTTATTCATAAATGATCTGGAGAAAGGGGTAAACAGTGAGGTGGCAAAGTTTGCAGATGATACTAAACTGCTAAAGATAGTTAAGTCCAAAGCAGACTGTGAAGAACTTCAAAAAGATCTCAC